AGTGCAGTGGCGTGATCCTGGCTCACTGCAACCTCCACCTCCCGAGTTCAAGCAATTCTCCTGCCTGAGCCTCCTGAATAGCTGAATTACAGGACTGCCCCACCATGCCCGGCTAATTTTTTAATATTTTAGTGGAGATAGGGTTTCACCAGGTTTGCCAGGCTGATCTCAAACTCCTGAGCTCTGGTAATCTGCCCACCTCAGCCCTGCAACAAGCTAGGATTACAGGTGTGAGTTGCTTGCTGCACCTGGCCCTTTTTGTCATCAATACATAGGAGCTCTTTATATATATATTATATATATTATATTATATATTATATATTATATTATATATATTATTATATATTATATATATTATTATATATTATATAATATATATATTATATATTATATATATTATATTATATATTATATGTAATATATATTATATTATATATTATATGTAATATAAAAATATATATTATATATATATTTTTTTCCCCTTTTTCTTTTCTTTCTTTTTTTTTAAAAGACGGGGTTTCACCATGTTGGTTAGGCTGGTCTTGAACTCCTGACCTCAGGTGATCTGCCTGCCTTGGCCTCCAAAGTACTTGGATTACAGGCATGAGCCACTGTGCCTGGCTGGAGCTCTTTATATATTAGGAGAATGAGCCCTTTGTTATATGAGTTGCAGGTAATTTCCCCAGTGTGTTGTCCTCTGACCTTGACTTTGGGTTGTTGCTCAGTGAACCTATTTTTCTACAGTCAAATTTATTAATCTTTGCTTTTTTTTTTTTTTGAGACGGAGTCTTGTTGTTGCCAGGCTGCAGTGGCGCGATCTCAGCTCACTGCAACCTCTGCCTCCTGGGTTCGTGATTCTCCTGCCTCAGCCTCCTGAGTAGCTGGGATTACAGGCTCTCACCACCACGTCCAGCTTTTTTTTTGTATTTTTAGTAGAGACGGGGTTTCACCATGTTGGCCAGGATGGTCTCAATCTCTTGACCCCATGATCTGCCTGCCTCAACCTCCCCAAGTGCTGGGATTACAGGTGTGTGCCACTGTGCCCGGCCTAGTCTTTGCTTTTGTGGTTTCTAAATTTTGTCTCTTGCACAGAAAGGAGCAGGAACCAATAGCCCCCACACACACACCACTTTTTTGGTTGGTACAAGCTTCGAGTGACTTGCTGGGTTCTGTAAGGAACAGGACAACTCCTGCTCTCCAAGAGATCCTAATTTTAGGGGGACACAAAGTAAACTGACGATTACAGTTCTGTTGTAATAACTAGTGGTGGGCGAGTGTGGTGGCTCATTCTTGTAATTCTAGCACTTTGGGAGGCCGACGCGGGCGTAATCCTGTAATCCCTGTAATCCCAGGAGTTCAAGACCAGCCTGGCCAACTTGGTGAAACCCCGTCTCTATTCAAAATACAACACAAGGCCGGGCACAGTGGCTTATACCTGTAATCACAGCACTTTGAAAGGCCAAGGCAGGCAGATCACCTGTCAGTTCGAAACCGAAACCAGCCTGGCCAACATGGCAAAACCCTGTCTCTACTAAAAATACAAAAATTAGTCAGGTGCAGTAGTAGACACCTATGATCCCAGCTACTCAGGAGGCTGAGGCAGGAGAATTGCTTGAACCTGGGAGGTGGAGGTTGCAGTGAGCCAAGATTGCACCACTGCACTGCACTCCGGCCTGGGCAACAGAGCAAGACTCCATCTCAGAAAAAAAAAAAAAAAAAAAAAGCTGGGCATGGTGGTGCATGCCTGTAATCCCAGCTACTCAGGAGGCTGAGGTAGGAGAATCACTTGAAGGTGGGAGGCAGAGGTTGCAGTAAGCTGAGATCACACCACTGCACTCCAGCCTGGGCAACAGAACAAGACTCTATTTCAAAAAATGATAGATAGATAGATAGATAGATAGATAGATAGATAGATAGATAGATAGATAGAAGCACTATGGGCAAGGAGGTTGCAGTTTACCAGGGAAGGCTTTACAAAAGAGGTAGCACCCAGGTACATCCACAGGTTTGTGTGGGAGTCAGTCCATCCCAGTAAAAATGGCTGCATGTGTACAGGAAAGAGGCCCGGCTGGTTCAAGGTTGTCCAGTTTGGCAAGAGAACAGGCAACCCCTTTGGGGTTGGCGTGTGGTAAAGGGCAGGGATAGAAGGGTAGGCAGGGACCAGATCACCAAGGACCAGGTGTGTACTATCCCGGAGTTGGGCCTGACCTGAGGCCGTGGAGAGGCAGCAGCGGGACCTGATGAGGCACCCAGGTCCCGGGTGGAAGCTGGGCCCTGGTTTGGAGGCTTCTGCCCCACCCGGCAGCCTCCACAGCAGCCTTGAAGGGCTCGTGGCGGCCACACAAGAAAGAGTGCACATTTCAGACCCAGATGCTCTATTCTCTTAAACTTCCAGAATTCTATAAAAATCATCAGGGAGGCTAGAATCTTCTCTGAGAAACATTTCTCCCCAAGATTAAGAAAACGTCAAGAGCTTGGGCCCCTCGCGGGGAAAGCGGTGGTTGTCATTACCTGCTCGGCACCCCGCTGGCAGCTGGGGCCAGCTAAATGTAGTGCCTGCCAGGCCGGGCGCGGTGGCTCAAGCCTGTAATCCCAGCACTTTGGGAGGCCGAGGCGGGTGGATCACGAGGTCAAGAGATCGAGACCATCCTGGTCAACATGGTGAAACCCCGTCTCTACTAAAAATACAAAACATTAGCCGGGCATGGTGGCACGTGCCTGTAATCCCAGCTACTCAGGAGGCTGAGGCAGGAGAATTGCCTGAACCCAGGAGGCGGAAGTTGCGGTGAGCCGAGATCGCGCCATTGCACTCTAGCTTGCACTCCAGCCTGGGTAACAAGAGTAAAACTCCGTCTCAAAAAAAAAAAAAAAAAAAAAAAATGTAGCGCCTGCCCCTCTTAGCTCCAGTCTGGCTCAGAAACAGCTGGGCTCTTTAGACCTAGCCCAGACCCATTCATCCAGGCCCCCCTTCAAAAGGGGCAGCAGGGTTGCAGGACTGCTGTGGGTGGGAGACAGAGGGGTGAACCCTCAGAGACAGGGGCCTCCAGCTGGCCTGGGTCCACAGGGATGTGTGTTTCCTTCTAGCCAACTAGGCGTAGTCCTGCTGAGCAGCCACAGCTGTTTTCAGAGCTCGGGGACAGTGGCCTGTGAACTTCCCTGCTCCCGTGGCCTTTTTGCACAGGCACTTTGTGGTTCATCTCCCAGGCTAACTGTCTTCCCTAAAGTGCCTGGTATGGATTCTTGCACATGATGAGTACTCAGTAAATGGTAGGAGTTTCTGCTAAAATTGGGAAGTGGCCGGGTGTGATGGGGCTCATGCCTGTAATCCCAGCCCTTTGGGAGGCCGCGGCCAGTGGATCACTTGAGGTCAGTTCAACATGATTGAACTGGCCAACATGAGCAAAACCCACTTCTACAAAAAATACAAAAATAAGCCGAGCGTGGTGGCAGGCGCCTGCAATTCCAGCTACTCGGAAGGCTGAGGCGGGAGAATGGCTTAAGGCGCGATTGTGCCACTGTACTCCAGCCTGGGCGACAGAGAGAGAGATTGTCTCAAAAAATAAATAAAAATAAAATTGGTGGCCAGGTGCAGTGGCGCATGCCTGTAATCACAGCACTTTGGGAGGCTGAGGTGGGCAGATCAAGAGGTCAGGAGATTGAGACCATCCTGACTGAAACCCTATCTCTACTAAAATACAAAAAATTAGCTGGGCAGGGTGGCTAGTAAGGGGCAGAGCTGGGATTAGAACTAGGGGCTGAGTCCCAGCTACTCAGGAGGCTGAGGCAGGGAATCACTTGCACTCGGGAGGTGGAGGTTGCAGTGAGCTGAGATCACACCACTGCACTCCAGCCTCTGTGACAGAGTGAGACTCCGTCTCAATAAATAAATAAAATTGGGAAGCTTCGCCATTTACCAGTGGGCTGCTGAGGGAGAGGAAGGGCAACGTGGAAACCCTGCAAATGGACTTTGAGGATTGTCTCTGGGTTTCAGTTACCCACGTTCTCCCTATGCCCCATCCCCAAACCAGCCAAAAAAGTTGGTTCTTGATGCCACCATTTTTGTTATAGTTGACTTCTTGCCTAAGGCGATTTTACCCCAAAGGATCACCTGGTGAAGTCAAGCACTGTAGAGATAAAGGCTTGTGGAAGCTGCCGAGCACTGATCCTGGCCAGCAGGCTTCCTGCTCCCCTCAAAGCACCTCTGCTCAGTGCTCTCAGGCGCGGGATGCTCCCCTCACCTGGCTGGAAGCCACCTTCAGCCTCAGCTCCAAATAGGCAGACAAGCCCTCCCCACTGCAGCCACACCAAATGGCAATGAGGTCAAAAGCTGGGCAGCAGAGGGTCTCCAGGCCAGAGTGCACGGTGTCTCTGGATCTACTTCCCTTGGTCATGTGTACTGGGGGGTGGGGGCACAGACACCCAAGCCCCCGCCTCAGGTCCAGCAAAGCTGAAAGGGCGAGGACAAGAGGAAGCCAGGAGGCAGGCAAGGGGCCTGGGATCCGAGGCAGGGCCAACCCTCCTTGCTGCTTACCTGTCACCTGCGTAAGGGGGCGTGTCAGCTTAGCATCCGGGATTTCCTTTCTCCCAAAACGAGACGGCATTGCAGTAAACGTTAGGAAAGCTCTCGGGCATATATGACTAGTTTTAACTTCCACTGATTTGACATTTACCACGTTCCAGGCAGGCGGTGGCATGGGTATGCCACACACACAATTCCACTGAATCCTCTTAACTCCCTGAGGGCAGGATAAGAAGATAGCTGAGGAAAGGTCAGGAGGGCTAAGTCCTGAACCAGGTCTTATGCTACTAAGGGGCAGAGCTGGGACTGGAACTAGGTAGGGGCTGTCTGGCTTCAGAGCTTTATCCTCAGCCACCATGTTACATGGGGACTAAAGAGTGCCGGGGAATCGTCAGTCCAGACCCTTCCCCAGCCACATCTGGCAACACCCCCATCTCTTGAGTACACAGATGTGTTGTAGAGAAAGAATGGAGTCTCCTAGATGGTCATTTTTCTTTATTTCCCAGCACCTTGAATCTCATGACATGGTCTGCAGGAGACCTCAGCGTCCTGCCAAGTCGCAGGCTTCTCTGATACATGGCACCGGGGCACTCTGCCAAAGAGCTGAAGCTCCCAAGGCTCGGCCAGGGCTCTCCAGCTGTGCTGTTTCTAAAAGCCGTTCTGGGTGAGATGGAGAGCCGAGTGTTCCCGGTCGCCCGGTCCTCCTCCTGTGAGGACAACACTGCTTGCTCTCCTGGCCTGCCTCGCCCATCCAGGAATAGGTCGGGAGGGCTCCAGGCAGCCGCCATCTCCTAGCTGAAAGAAGCTGAGACCTGGGCCTTCCATCCAGTTTACCCTGGAGCAGGTCGGTTCCCTGGGGAGGCTCAGAGTAGGCCCCGGCCAGACCCCCATTCAGCAAACGAAGGAATCCTGCTGTTTTGCCAACATCTATTCACCAACTTGGCCTGAACCCATTCTGAGTATAGAGGGACAACCGGAAGTCCCAGGTCAACTCTGCTGGAAGCCACTGTGCTGGAAGAGGACTTCTTTCACTTTGTCCACGATGGTCCCCACTTCAGCCATGGCCCCCAGACCTGGGAGCAAAATTCCACTGTGGTCAGACGGACTGCCAGTGCCTGCAGCCCCGCAGCCCCCTGCCCAGTGCTCCCTGAGTGCTCCACCCAGAGTGCAAGGCCCGAGAGGGCCAGGCCCGTCTCTGCCTGAGCCAGACACACCACATCCCTACCGAGACCCCGTCAGGCCCTGGGAATCCTTCAGTAGCCATCCTTAGCGGCGTGCGGGCTGTGTGCCAGGGACTTTACCCGTTCCATCCCATTTTATCCTACCAATCTGGAGGCAGGAATTACAATTCCCATTTTCCAGCTGAGAAAGCTAAGCTCAGAGGAGAATGGTTTGCTAAGGTCACAACAGGCCAGGAACTGAACTGAGATATAACCCCAAAGCTGAGCCCCTTCTACGGCCCTGGGCTATGAGGCTGGCAAGACACCCACCTTTGTCTCCGCACACCAGCTTCTTGGCCACACAGGGGATCTCGACATAGCCGAAGGCCTTGAGCTGGTGGAGCTGCTGGGCTGTGATGGGGTGCTCCCACATGGCAGTGTTCATGGCTGGGCAGAAGAGCAGGGGCTTGCTGCGGTCCCAGGCCCGGATGACGCAGGTCTGTGAAGAGGGCAGGGGAAGTGGGGGGTCCTGCTGCTCTGTCTTCCACCCTCCCCGCCACCCTCCAGACCCCACAGCCAGTAGCCCAGCCATGGGCTTGGGATGACTGGGCACAGCCTGCCTGCAGGGAGCTGTCTCGTCCCTCGGGGGTGGAGGCTGTGTCTCCTTACCTCTCGCCACCTCCCCGCAGGCTCTGGCACAGGATCCCACACACGGGAGGTGCTCAACCAACACCCACAATGGCCCCGCCACCTCCAGCAGGTATCCCTGTGCCCAAGCCTCCTCCAGGTAGGCTCCCACCTCCTGGGAGAAGGAACTCTGGGGAACAGAAGGCAGCCTTTTTTGGTTACACCAGAAAGCAAAGGACCAGGCTGCTCCTCAGGTGGGGCCCATCTACCTAACATCAGCTCTCCGAAGCCAACTAACGTGTGGCAATGAAAACATCTGCCGTGACCAGAACCTTCTCATGTATAGGGTCTCATGAACCCTCACTGTGACCTTATCAAGAAGGTGCTGTCCCATTTCACAGATGGGAGCTGCAGCATCCCGAGAGGTAAGCAGTCATCCAAGCTCACACCGGACAACAGGCGCCACCCAGTTAATTTACACTGTAGTCTCACCACCTCCCAAACGCAGGCCACCCCACCAAGACAGAACTGAGCAGCTGTGAAAAAGCCAACCAGCTCAGAATCCTTCGTGCCATGGATTTTGAAATCATGTAGCCCTGAGTTCAAATCCTAGTGGCTCTGTATTTACTAGCTGTGAGAACCCAGACACGGGACTGAAGGCCAGGGCATGGCTTCCTCTCTAGAAAGGTCCCTCACTGGGCGGCTGTGAGGTCTGAGGTGAGAATGGCTACAAAGCGCTGAGCACAGGGCCCAGCACAGCACATGCTCCAGGGCAGGGCCTCCTGGGCTTCCCACAGGCGCGGGCTCTCTGGGCTGGGGGCCGCCTCGGGAGAGAGAAGCTCCCTGTGTTCTGACTGCTCCAGATGCCCTCTCCAGGGCTGTGAGCCCCTCAGGGCGACAGGGGCTGGAAACCCTTCCCATGAAGGGAAGCTCATCTGGGAAAAGAGTGAGGGCGTGCAGAGAACAGTGCCCCGACAGGCCAGGACCAGCACCTCCCCCAAGTCCCGGGGCCAGGGAGGAAGGCGGACGGTGAGGAAGTGGGACAGCAAACAGCCCTGAGGCCCGATGCGCGCATCAGCCGACACCAGCACTGGCTTCCCACCAAGCCCTCTTAGTACGCCGGCCGGGCGCTGAGTGGACAGTTTCAGTCACACTTCCTCTTGGCTCCCTGCCACCTACAGCTTCTGCAGACGTCAAAAGCGTATCGAGAAGAGTCGCTCCACTGTGTGCAGGGTGGGAGCAAGGCCTGGGCTGGGCTTCTAAGTGCCCTCAAAGCAAATACACAAATCAGGGTGAAAACCAGCACTCCACCTCCTCTCAGACAAACCTCAGCTCCTCCGAGCCCGCGAAAGCAGGCGGGGGAGAGGGCCTGTTCCCACGGTGACATCTCTTTGGCCAGTGCTGTATTCAACACTTCAGGCTCTGCCCCTGGGAATTCACGTGGGCAGGGGAGAAGGTCTAGATCCCAGTCAGGAGACCGGCTCCCAGCCAGACTAGTGATCCAGAGAGACTGCCTGCTCTTTCTGGGTCTGACTGCCTGTTTAGCACAAATAGGCCAGGGCCTTTGTGGGCCAAAGGACAGAGGGAGATGAGCCTGGAGACCAGGAGCACGGTCACATCTAGCACCCCATGCCCTGGGCGCTGGAAAAGAGAGAGCTGCGGAGGCAGGAGCAGGCTCAGCTTCCTTTCACGGATGTAGGGAGAAAACAGCTACAGAGAGAAGACACAGCCATGTGCCACCAATGCCCACATTTCAAACTGTAAAATTTGAGATTCCTTGAAACGTTTGTCACTTTGAGGGAAACTTTGAGGCAAATGATCTGGGAGCTGGCTGGTCTTGGGAACATGTTTCACTGCCCGGCCAGCTCTGGAGGAGGGAAGCCCAGGGACTTCATCAAGTGATGGCAGCTTAGAAGAAAAAGGAAGCAGAGCTTTGGGGAAGAAGGAAAGCGCCCTTGCAGAGCTGCCCCGGGGGAGCTGAGCTCCCAGGGGCCAGAGCTTCGTCACACCAGCTGCTGCTGACCCACCAGTGGGGAGCCTGGAGATTTGGCGAGACGGTGCTGGCCGTCTCTGGATAACTCTGACCCAATTTGATGAAAGCGGCCAGGAAACTCAACCGCTCCACCTGCCGCTGCCACTGCCATGGCACTTGTGGCACCAGCCCTGCTGGGAAGCCTTTTTGTTTGTTTTTTGAGACAGAGTCTCACTCTGTCACCCAGGCTGGAGTACAGTGGCACAATCATGGCTCACTGCAGCCTTGACCTCCTGGGCTCAAGTGATCCTCCCACCTCAGCCACCTGAGTAGCTGGGGATGACAGGCATCCACCACCACGCCTGGCTGATTTTTTAATATAGATATATTTTTTTGGTAGAGATGGGGTTTCACCATGTTGCTCAGGCTGGTCTCAAACTCCTGGGCTCAAGCGATTTTCCTGCCTCAGCCTCCCAAAGTGCTGGGATTATAGGCATGAGCCACCACACCTGGCCTTTCCTTTTTAAGTTTTTTTATTTTTAATTTTTTTTAATTTTTTTTAATTTAATAGAGATGGGGTTTCACCATGTCAGCCAGGATGGTCTCGATCTCTTGACCTCGTGATCCACCTGCCTCGGCCTCCCAAAGTGCTGGGATTATAGGCATGAGCCACCACGCCCAGCCCTTTTAAATTTTGTTTTAATAGAGATAGGGTCTTGCTATGTTGGCCAGGCTGGAGCATACTGGTTATTCTGGCTATTCACAGGCACAATCAAGGGGCACTGTAGCCTAGAACTCCTGGGCTTAAGCAATCCTTCCGTGTCGGCCTCCCAGCTAGCTGGGTCTATAGGGAAAGATGCTGCTTGATGACACTGCTCCTGGGCTCTCTGTTCTCTGCACTCCCTACCCCTGCTCCTGGCCACACAAGCTGTTCTTCTGCTCACTCTGTGCTCTTATTCAAATGATGATTAAATCGCTGGCAGACTCTTTGAGGAGTGCCTTAAGGGCCCATTGATAAGTGTACAAGAACACTCATCTGTGACCCCAAAACACATCCTGTCCCAGCTTCTTTATTCACCTCCACCACATGAAACTCTGGAAAACTCCCAGTTACCTGCAGAAGTAAAACTGCTAGTTAACCTCAACACGGAGTAAGTATTTTGGTGGCATGTGGATGTGTACTACAGGCTCAGCACTACGAAAGGTGGTGACTCCGTAGTCAAAGGGCTGACTGCAGTCATTCAGGACTGTACCACTCACCAGAGCATACTCCCTTCCCACCGGCATGGGTGATCAGGCCTGGCACTCTCCCTCCAGCCTGGGAGCTCCCTGAGTTCTGGGAGGCCCTCAGCATAGATCCTGGTACGTGGTAGGCAAAAGCTCAATAAATGAGGTGGGGGGTGGCAATTAGGGAAAGGGAGGAGAGAAATCACTCCTAAATCTTCCCAGGACAATCATATAAACAAAGGCAGCTCCTCTCTAAGGGCAACAGCACCCTGGGGGTGTCTTAGGCCTAGGACGGTACCCGCTTTGGATAGCTGGACTTCCATTTCTCCCTACCACCCATCAGCTCCCGCCACGGCCCCTTTCTCCCCTCTTGCCCTCTAAGCTTCCCCTAGTATATAGGAAAGCTACAAGGGCGAGAAAATGTGCATGAGCCATCTATGAAGAAGTGGACCCCCAATCACATTGCCCACGTGTATACCCAAATCCGGGGAGAAGTCAGAACTGAAGCAGCAGGCGATGGGGCTTGGCAGAAGACAGTGGAAGGGTACACCCCAGGCGGCCCACGGGAGGGACAAAGAGCAAGGAACAAGGGGCTGGCTTGTGGGCACCTGGCTGGGCACCATGGGCAGGAGCGAGGAGGATGGTCCTGGAGAGCAGTGGCAGGTCAGGCTGACCCAGCAGGACCAGGGCTGTACCCATGTGCTGGAGAGGTGAGAGCACTGGGGACGATGCGGGGAATAGGGGGGCACAATCTCCCTGAGCAGACCGGGGCCCCACAGCAGCAGGTCTCCATGTACAAGGAAGTCTGCAGCTCAGCAAACTGGGAGCGAGGCCCAGGAGGGACAAGGGCACCAGGGCGTCACTCACGAGCAGGTTGTCACAGATGCCACTGGCCACCTTCCCCAGAGTGTTGGCATCAAGAGGAGCTACCAGCAGGAGGTCTGCCCACCTCCGCAGGTCAATGTGCAGAACCGGGTCAGAGCGGCACTTCCACATCTGGCAGAGGGAAGAAAAGGGTCAGCGTGGAGGGAGCGGGACGTGGCGCCACGGCAGGCCAGGTGTGGTAAGGCAGGAGGCCGAGGAGCCCTCCCACCTGCCCTGCCCGGGCCACCTCCGTTCCCTCCCGCAGCTAAGCCGGCAAGCGCTAGCCATGGAGCCAGCAGCTGAGAGAACCAGGCCCGAGGAAACAAGCGCCCCTTGTCTCTCTGAGCTACTCCCTTCATGGTTTGGCTTTCAACAGAACTGACATCTGGCAGGGAGCTCCGGGCTGTCTGCTTGAGGCGGATGCTTGGGTTGTCCAAGCCAGTGGAAGGCTTCGGGGGCAGTGAGAAATGGAGGGGGTGGGGCGGGGAAGACAGGCCAGCCAGAAATGTTCTAGGCTGAGAATGTTTAAAAATGCCTGGCAGGGAACCCCTGCGAGGCCCACACTTAGCGTCTGGTGAATCAGCCAGTGCCCACCCATCTGCAGGGGAGACGCAGCAGAGCCCGGCGGCCGTGGGAAGTGAGGCATTCTCTTCAGCCTGGACGCCCGGAGCCACGTGGACAAGGGTGGTGGGAACAGAGCTCCTCTGTGGTTTCATCAGCCCAGATAAGTACAAGGACACTCAACTTCAGGCACCAGGCCAAAGCTCAGCTCCGCCTGGGCCGGGAGGAGACTAGGGCCTCCTGCAGGCCAGAAGCTAGACAGATGTTTTCTTCATTGCCTCTGCCCAGAGGGCCCTGACCTCGGACTTGAGTCCAGCCTGTCTGTTCTGGCCGCCAGACCATAGGCTGCAGGGAGGACTGCTCTGTCCTGCTGGTGGAAACGCAGTGGAATTCAGCCCAGGGGCCCCCAGCACTGACCTCCCATTCATCAGCGTCACTGTAGAGGGTGACAGGAACGTCCTGGGGACTGTAGAAATGTTTGGCTCTCTCAGTTGTGACCACTGCTACTTCCAGCTGTCACCAAGAAAACAGGGGTGGTGGGGCAGGAGGAAGAAACTGTTATCAGAGTCACAGGCCTGGAGGCCACAGGAGGGTCAGGCGGGCAAGTGCTGTCTTCACAGGCTGGCTTGAGAGGACTTCCCTCCTTAGCAGCAAACCCCATGTCTGCTTAGCTACTTCTGCTGTCACCCAAAGGTCAGGCCCTACCAGGTGTGGCCGTTTCACTTCCCCATCCGAGGGGCTGCTGAGAAATGAGTCCGCAGCTGCCTGTGTATACAAACCTGCAAGCTCCAGCCGCTCGGGCAGAGGGAGGCCCAGCGGCAGAGGCACAAAAGTGACAGGAAAGGAGCTCAAGGCCAGGGCCACAGAGGCCACAGCAGGCAGGCGAAACCACTCAAGGAGTCTCTTAGGTCCTGAGTTATGTGCCTCGCCATAGCCCTGCCCTCTGCAGGCCAAGGACTGCGGGCTAGGCGCAGCACGACCTGTGTGCATGCATGCCCCCAGGAGAAAGCAGACAATGTGCCTTCACAGACCTCAGAAACAAGGCCTCCAGGGCGCAGGCTGCAGACAGGCTCCAGGAAAACCCAACCCACATGCCCTGCACTCATGGGGTGAGAATGACGTTTACCCACACACTACCCATTCACTAAGAAATTACTAATGCAAACCAAGGCTGCCTGCAACCTGCTTAACAGAACACATGGCTGTGAGAGACAGCACGGGAGTGTGGAGGGCACTAGATGGGTTGGCCATCATTTGTAAAACAAGATTTTTTTTTTTTTGAGATGGAGTCTCACTCTGTCACCAGGCTTCAGTGCAGTGGCATCATCTCAGCTCACTGCAACTTCCATCTTCTGGGTTCAAACGATTCTCCCGCCTCAGCCTCCTGAGTAGGTAGGATTACAGGCACCTGCCACCACATCTGGCTAATTTTTGTATTTTTATTAGAGATGAGGTTTTAACATATTAGCCAGGCTGGTCTCAAACTCCTGACCTCAGGTGATCCACCCGCCTCAGCCTCTCAAAGTGCTGGGATTATAGGCGTGAGCCACTGCACCCAGCCTGTAAAACAAGATTTTAGACTAACAAGCTGACCAAGAACAGAGGCCCAGAGGAAGTAGCTGGGGGAGAAAGGGGGTATAGGAAACCACATCTTTGGGGAAGTCAATGAGTCAGGAAAGGACGCTTGTTTCTTCTGGATATTTAACCAGAAGAAAGAAGAGTCAAGGGTGACAAGGACCAACCATTGACCAGCCAGAGCTGTCGTCACGGGGACCCACGTCTGGGCCAGACCCAGCCTGCAGACGTGCTGTTTGGCCCGCACAGGATTATACACATTTTAGGCCGGGTGCAGTGGCTCAGCCTGTAATCCCAGCACTCTGGGAGGCCGAGGTGGGCGAATCACGAGGTCCAGAGATCGAGACCATCCTGGTCAACATGGTGAAACTCCATCTCTACTAAAAATACAAAATTTAGCTGGGCGTGATGGCACGCACCTGTAGTCCCAGCTACTCGGGAGGCTGAGGCAGGAGAATTGCTTGAAACCGGGAAGCAGAGGTTGCAGTGAGCCGAGGTCACGCCACTGCACTCCAGCCTGGTGCCTGGCAACAGAGCAAGACTCTGTCTCAAAAAAAAAAAAAAAGATTATCAACATTTTCGAGCCAACATGTGCAAATTGGAAGATTTCACCTAGAAAATTCAGTTTTCTGGGTTCTTGTGAAACACTGAAGGCTCCAGTGGGCACTACTGGACACACATTCTGACATCAGAGCAACGTAGTCCCTAGGGGTTGCCTCTCACTCTGTAGGGCGTGCCCATGCCAATTCTGCCTCGCCCTCACTCCTCCCTACTGTGTCTCTGAGGCACCCCTCCTTGACTGCTTCCTGCATATTGTACAGAGCAGGGTGGGAGACACATCAGCACAGCAGCTAGGAACAAAGCCAGGACTGAGAAATAGAAGTCTCAGAGAGGAAGACTGAGGAAGAACTTCAGGAAGTCTGGGGTTCCGGGTTCTATCGACTTGTCCATTCTCCATCTCACTCCCCCTTAGGATCTACCATGCCCAGAACCTGCACAAAACCTCAGGGGC